CAAACGAAGGAGAATCATATCCCCTTCTTATGCCTTACGCACGTCATCGACTAACGGCGATGACGGCACACTGACTAACAGTGCCGCAACAGTGGGTAAGGCCTCACTGTTGGCCCGAGTTGTCGGCTCGAAATCGGGCCGACGTGATAGCTCATCAGCGACGACGTTTAGTCGTCCTGGTTTATACTTCACGGAGAAGTTATACTCAGCGAAGAAAGACAGCCACCTCGCAATTCTTTGCGCGAGGTGGGGACTGTTTACGGCCGTGCGTAATGACGCATGGTCCGTGTATACGATGAACGGTCTATCTACGAGGAGATAGACGCGGAACTTAGCCAGTGCGTACTTCATGGCAAGGAGTTCCTTGTCATGCACTGGGTAATTACGCTCAGCTGCTTGCAGCTGACGCGACTGATAATAGACGACGCGCTCTGCGCCATCTGTGTCATACTGCATTAACGCACAGCCGATAGCAAAATTGCTGGCGTCACAGACCACATAAACTGGTCCGTCCTGATCTGCAATCGCCAATATGGACAATTGCATAAAGCTCTGTTTAATACGGTTAAAGGAGCGCTGACGGTCAGCGTTCCTTGACCACTTCACATTTTCTTGAGCAAGAAGAAAGATGCATAGTCATCTCGGCGTAGTTGCGCAGTTACTTGTTAAAGTACGCCGCTAGCCCCAGAAATCTTACAAAGTCCCTTGACATCGACTGGCACTGGCCAGTCGGTGATTGCCTTGATCTTTTCGGGATCAGGGCGTACGCCGTGTTTACCCACGATGCACCCAAGACGTGGTATTTCGCTAGCCGCGAATATACACTTCTTGAGGTTGGCGTACAACTTATGCTTGCGCATAAGTTGAAAAACCTGACGAACGTGAGTGCTATGAACTTCAACGTCCGTCTTTCCGTCCATAACCCGGATATGGACGAACACATCGTCGAAGTAACTCGATGCAAAGTCTCGCACCGGTCTCAACAGATTTGTAACATATCTGTTGAATGTTGCAGGGGCATTACTCAGCCCATGTGGCATCACTAGCCACTCCCACAGCATCCCGCTGGGGGTACTCACTGCTATGTACGGTATGTCCCGTTCACGCATGAGGATCTGATAGAATCCGTCCACCAGATCCATGGACGAGAAGACGGTACTCTTTGACATACCATCTATGATTACGTCCTTTCTCGGTATCGGCGTCTGAACCGGTACCGTTGCAGCATTTAACTTGCTGAATGCGTGCACTATCCGCCATCCTCCTGTGGCTTTTCGCACACAGAAGGTCGAAGAGCTGTGAGGGGATGTTGATTCCCTCACATGGACCGCTGCTAAGCGGTCGGCAAAGAGCTTGTCGATCGCTAGCACCTGTTCACGAGGCAGTGGCCACTGCTTCATGACACAGTACTTCGAGCCCGGCTTGAGCTCGATCTCGTGTTGAGTGCCTTTGTCCTTAGGCAACTCGCATGGCACGGATTCAGGGAATACGCCCTTGAATTCGATCAAATCCTTATACAAAGGATTTGCCTGAAGTGACTCCCAGGATTGAGACATGTATCGCTCAATCCGAGTCTTCTCATCGATGACGCCTTCGTTCATAGATGAACTGCTGAGAACCCGTTCGGTCTCAGTAAAAAACGTTGCCGACCGAATATCGATGACGTACTGGTCCTGCGGTAATAGTGCACAGATCTGCTTGACTTTGCCAATGCACAGAGCACGCAAGAACCGTTTCGGTTCTAGCGTTGGCAATTGAGTTATCTACGAAGTTAGTTTTGGAGGCACAACCAGATCAAGCGTGTAAGCGCCTACGCTTAATCCATCATTGACCAAGACATGCAGTGTCTCGATGACCTCCTGGGAACTCGCTTTCACAGGATCTGGGTTAGCTTTCTCCACAATGTAGTGATCATTTACATTGTGTTCTTGTACAGTCGTGCTAACGACCGTACCACAAGTGAGGCCATCGCACTCACTCGTAGTACACCCACGTGAGTGTGGGCGTTTCAAGATATTCGCCAGGTGGTTATCTGAGGAACAAGTGGCAGGCATCGTAACCGATCGATACTGCCAACTCACCCTTGGCTCGTATATCCTGAGCCAAGGCAACCCTAAGATGACGTCGAACTTGTCATCCAGGTCAAGCACGATGAAATTATTATCGTACTGTTCCCCTTTTAACGTGTAGTGGATTCCGACTACACGTTTCTTCACATTGATCGATACGCCTGTCGCTAGGCGCGCCGTCAATCGCGTTGGAGGGATCTCCTGCTCCATGAAGTTGAACCTTCCTGCCTCTATCGACTGGCGACGAGCAAAATTGTTCGACGCCCCACAGTCAACTAGGGCGCGAAGTGACAAGTCCTTTGTCACTTCCAATATCAAGAGGATGAGAGACACCTCATCACCAAGTGCAGAGACACACATGGACTGCGTGTCGGGAGCAACCTTCATCAAGAGATTTGCAAATTCTCTTGATGTTGCTGGATCAGTAGGGCGCTCCGCCCCCACTGACCCCGACCATATTTTGATGGTTGGTCTCGCTGGTGCGACTTTGCAACAGCATCGGACCCTCGCCCTCCAGCTCTTCTTACTGGTGGATGATTACTGCGCTCAGCACCACGAGGTTCCGAGTGGGGATACTGCATTCATATGCGTGGTGTTCCAGTTTATGACAGCGATGGCATCTCACCGATCGCTTGTCATTCGCAGGGCGAGGTTTCTCGCCCTCGACATTACAGAGGTCCATTGGCTCTGGACCTCCGACCGCTGATCGTATCTGCGGACGAAAGGGGGTCAGCGTAGTGTGAGCCTGTTTCATACTAAAGTCTTCCTGCTCCGCAGCGAAGATTTCTTCGGAGAGCGTCTTTAGCTCTCCGCGGAACAGGTGGTCCCTGACGGGACCATCGGACAGTCCATGATTGAATATTGTGATCAACATAAATTCACTTACAGGGCTCACTACCATGCAGCTTGCAAGGTAGTGTACATGCTGAGCGTAAGCGTGAACCTTACGTTTACCCTGTTTGATTCCGAGGAGTTCAGATAGTGTCCTGAACTCTGCCCTGATAGGCTCAAACGTCTCGCTGAGCAGGGTCTTGAAGATCCTCAACGACCCAAACACGTTTGGGTCGTGCAACTTGAGATTCAGGGCTCAATTCCTGGCGTCCCCTGACAAGTACGACTGAGCGAATGAAACTTGCATTCGCTCATCGTCGACTTCGACGAACCACCTTAACAGGGAGTCGTCCTCGACTCCGTGAATATTGGAGATCTCTAGCTTTAGAGACCCCGGTAGACGCTCCCGTGTCGACTGCGCGGACTGAGACTGCCTCAGTTCTTCGTTCCGCTGTTGATCTTGTTGTTGCAACAAGGTCACCTGCGCTCGCGACTCATCAAGTTCTCGTTGCAAGAGCTTGCTAATGACGGTATGCTGCTGGTCTCTACCCCCTGTGGATAGCATGGCCCAGATTGCTATTTCGCCAACAGTCGAACTCATTCGTTCGATCGCACTCCATTCGATATCGCTCAAATGGGAGTAGCTTTCACGGGTTCCGTGAAATTTTTTGCCTTCGACTTCGTCCAACATGTTCATGTTGGGCGATGCGAGTGTGGTCCTTGGACGGACTACAAAGTGCTACCAGGTGTAACGGGGCACCGACGACTACGTACTGGTCAACCAGTACGGAGTTTACTATCACTGACTGTAGTGATAGTCAGTGCCCAGCTAGGTGTAGAACTACACAGAGGAAGGTAGAACGACTAAGGTGAAAGACTCTAGTCGCAGGAAAAGTAAAACGGTTATTAATATAATAAAGTCCTATACATCTTCTATCTCTGTTTGTCCTGACTTAATTATACTAATGTAACCAAATGTATGGTGACGTCTACTCACCACCCATTGCGCAGTTCTAGCAGCGATTGGTGGGTTGACATTATCACGATATCAACCAATGAGTAGACCCTTCGGTCATCTTCAACAATATCATCATGCTCTGTGATACTGTTGAAAGAATATTCAACGTAATATTCTCTATTGTCATTTTATCCTTAGTGACAATATCATGTAACGGGCTACCCCGTTTCAGTTGGGATCCCATGGAATATAATTACAACGTCGTGTCTATTTAGGAAGATGATAAACAGATGAGATAAAGTGCTGCCCCGCACGTAAAGTCGCTCAAAATAGAACCAAGTTGTAGGAAATGACCGACGTCTGGGAAATCGAGCACGTTGTGCTTGCGTCGATCTGTGTGGCTTATCATCGATCAAAGAAGGAAAAAAAGAAGAGAGAGAGAGAGAGAGAGAGAGAGAGAGAGAGAGAGAGAGAGAGAGAGAGAGAGAGAGAGAGAGAGAGAGGGGAGAGGGTACAATTGCATGTCCCGGTGTTTCGTGCTCAAGAGTATCGGCAATAGACTATGAAGGCTCTGACGCATAGGAGGCAGCATCGTCGGTTCGTGTGTGAAGTGTCGACAGTGTCGCGCCGCAGTTGTGATACGTGACCATAAATACTGTTTCGAATCGATCGAGGAGGAACCTCAAGACAGAGCTGAGGCTTTACTATCGAATACCAAAGAGCAGATGTGGTCGGTGCAACGGGCGGGCCTAGCATTCGACAGGTCAGACAGAGCGATCGGATTTCTCTCGTCGACGCGTCATTTCGCACTCGCCGGTGTCACGAACATAAATGTACAGCCACAACAGCGGCATGACATTGCTAACGGGCGCAGTAGACTCAGTGGTTGTCACCGGCCTCAGATGACAATGTCTGACCGGCCGCACTCGCTGACTGTACACAATTTGCAGCTATATCGTCCGCAGCATCAACAACAGTAAACGGCAGCAGCACATTCGCCTTTTCGTTTTTCCTGACCCTTACGAGCACGAGCTTCTACTTCCACGTCGCACGACTGACGAGACCAACATCCTGCGACAGCGACTGTTGCCGTCCTCTTCGTCAATCTGTTCTTCACAAAGTATCCCAACATCGTCGTTCTCTTACTTCTTGAGCTCGCCACAGTCCTGAATCACAACGTCAACACAAGTAGCGCCCGACTGGCTGCCTTGCTCTTCCATGGCCTTGAGCACGTCGTGGCCCTCCGTCACGCGCCCAAACACGACGTGCGCCTTGTCCAGCCACGGGCAGTCCACTGTAGTCAAGAAAAACTGTGACCCGTTCGTATTAGGTCCAGCATTGGCCATCGAGAGCACGCCCGCGCCTTCGTGCGCGAGCTCAAACTTCTCATCGGGGAACTTGGCACCGTAGATGGACTCGCCGCCCGTGCCGTTCCCGTGCGTAAAGTCCCCGCCTTGACACATAAAGTTGGGGATGATACGGTGGAACTTGCTGCCTTTGTAGTGCAGCGCCTTGCCTGTTTCGCCCGTACCCGCTTCGCCCGTGCACAGCTGACGAAAGTTCTCGGCTGTCTTCGGTACCACGTCGGCGCGCAGCTCAAAGACCAGACGTCCACTGGACTTGCCATCGATTGAGATGTCAAAGAACACGTTGGGGTTCTGGTCGCGGGCAGAGCTAAAGAGCGCCAGCGAAACGGGCGACAGCTGCTTGCGCGCCACGCATTGCGCAGGTCGCGCCAGCAGTACCTTCATAATTCCCATGGTGTCCGCCGAAGAGCTGCGTGCGACACGACGAATGAATGAGTGGCGGGGGATCGGACCTCTCAAACGGCATGAGCGTTCCGTAAATAAATCTCTTCGAGATCGCTTGTCGTGTCTACGGTGACGAAAGCAGAAATTTCCTGGAAACCAGCTGAACAACCGACCGGCGACGACTTTTGTAGTCAACACCGAGAGATCATCGATCATTGACAAACTTCTAGCCTGCGTGCATGACGCGAAAAAGTGAGCGTCCAACTAGCATTTCGCACAGCGCCTTGCACGTGCCGCGGCGTTTTCGTGAAGACGGGGTAACGAACTGGTTGGCAAACGAATTTGACGATACGAAGCAGACTAAAACGAGACGACGCGCGAGCGGTGGTAAAAGTGGGCACAAGAAGACGCGAGTGTATTGCCAAATGAGTCGAAGTCGAGCAGCAAAGGACGCTGGTGTGCACTTTTGGAGGTTTGAGCGGGTGGACAAGCCCCTGTGTGATGTCGATATCAGCAAGTATCCTTTCAAATTAGTTCGTGACGGGTTGCTTCCTGCGAGTAAAATTCAAAGCCAAATGCAGCAGTATCAGCAGACGCTTTTCCAATACTGCCAGCAGCAATGGCAGCAAGATGGACATACTGAGGGTATGATGCCGTCACAAGGGCAACAACGACTGCCCGACTTTGTTAAGTGCTTCTTGGTGCCTTTTGATACGGACTACATTGTAACGGTAGCAGCAGCTCTGCAAGGAACAAAAGTCAGAGGTGATTTACGCGTGGCAGCGTGTTTTGGGCAGACTTTGTTCCACCTCCACAGTACGTCAGCCGGTCGAAAGTACTACTTCAACGAGTTGCGCGATATCAGCTGTCCGCGCGACGTCCAGTCGAGCTGGTCAAATGTATGTGATGATGGATCACCGGCTATCAGTGGGCTACTCGATCAATTGCGTCGAAGCGATCCAGTCAAGACGCAGGTCTCTGCGCTGAAATTAACGGTACGCTGCTGCTGTTCGAAACCAGGCGGTGGACCAACGGTTGCCAATATTGATTACTTTCGCAAAGGTGACCAGTGGGTACACGCAAGTTCCCGCGCGATGTCGGATGTGTTTGCTTACCACGACATTTCACTGGACAACGAGACGAGCTTCCGAGTAAAAGTCTACGCTGAACAACTAGGATCGACAAAGGCTTGGTGGGGTTCCGTTCATAACCTCGTGCTATTGGATGAGTCGAACGGGGATCCCTTTACGACCGAGGCTAGTCTCGTGTCTTGCGCTCAAAATGATGTCGTCATTGACTTTGTTACCATCAAAAGTGTCTCGGGTTTGTCAGAGTACGGCGGACTATGCTTTCAGTTATCCAGGAAGCAGGGTTGTTCCTTCCTGAAAGCGTACCTTCCAAAAGGAAGGCTGGCAAAGAAGCAAGCAGACAAAGGCTTTGAGTTTATTGTCACAAGGTTGTTGGAGATCCTGGGCCGATCACTTTGAATGAAGTGAACACGCTGCGAGACTTTCTGCACACTGAGGGCTTCGTAGGGCTCACAATGCAACTTGCATGACTCAATTCGATAGGCCTTTTAGTGGCAGACCCATGATAACTAAGTTTGGCAGAAACATCTTCCTACGTGCTAGTTGTACTTTGTGCAAGTCTCTTTGCTTTTTAGTTCAGCTTTGGACATAGCGGCGATAAGAGATGGAGGTTGTGTCGAGCATTGTTGGCGTTCGTGTTCCATTTGCTATCGTCGCGGTTGAATGATGATAGGATGCGTCGCATGTTCAATCAAAGTATTGCGAGTGTCGCTCGTAGTAGCGCGAGAAGCATTACCATCAAATCAGCAGCGACGACTGCTGCTGGGCGTACCAATGCCGCGAAGAAGGATAAAAGGCGTTTGTGTGGTGGCCAGAACGTTTGCTTCGTAGAAGTGCTCGCCGATTCCCGTGTTGGTTTCCTCAACCAGCTACTCGATCAGCGATCTTTTGGTCGTCCTCCTCTTGCTGAAGATGGCTGACTCTGATCGACTATACTGTATCGGCAGATCGTAGTGTGAAGTAGCCCTTGGCGAAGTCCAAAAGCGGTTCGTGTCCGCACTGACCGACTACTCGATCTGATAAAACAATATTGTCTGCGCTGTGCGGTCCATTTCCATGCCCTTGTGCGTGTTCTCAACATGTCTTTATTTTTATGCTGTTTTTGACAGACACCATATGCGAAAAATCTCTCCCGAGCTCCCGACAAGACGCCATTGCAACCGCAATACATCGAATCAGACACCAACGTCCCTGTCAAAAGCGATACCTGACACTTCACTGTTGTCACCATCTCGTCGCTTCGGCCACAACAGCAGACAAGCGAGTGATCAGGTCGCGCACACAATGGCTACACACGTCTCGGAGCGCATGCGGACGTTCAAGAAAGGGATCGACGTGGACGAAAGCCGACGCCGACGTGACGACACAACGATCCAAATTCGTAAGAACCGACGGGAAGAGCGAGTGAATCAGCGGCGACGAATGATTGCGACGGTTCGAAGCAGCTGCTTTTTGTGTGGTTGGCTGCAAGATGGGGTGGCGGGTGTACCAAGTTGACGGTACCCTTGTGCTGTGTGGCTGTCTGGTGGGTTACTTGTGTGCATGGACTGAGACAGGACCACAGCCATGTCCCGAGGATGGAGACTGCCGAGCAGATGCCCACCACGTGTTGCGACTTGTCGGCCACTGGCGTCAGTGTACGCGATTTCGTGCAGTACTATTGTGTTTCTGACCAATGTGTAGCAAAAGCACTCACACCTGCTCCATGACGACACGGGAATGTAATTCATTTTCGTGTTCGGGTAATGCGCTTGCACGTGGCAGGTCTCTGATCTGCCCAAGATTGCAGCAATGATTCAGTCACTGGACCCGATGGAGATTTCACACGCAGTGTCCAAGTTGCGACGGCTGTTGTCACTTGGTACGGAACGTGTCGGGTGGTAGTCGACACGAAAGAGACGGGATGAGGTTTGATGGGACTCTTTGTTGGGTGGTGTTTATGATGGTACACAAAGAGCACGATCCGCCGATTCAGCAGGTGATCAACTTGGGCGTCGTGCCACTGCTTGTGGACTTTTTGAGACAGCACGACCGACCAGAGATGCAGTTTGAGGCCGCGTGGGCGCTCACGAATATTGCCTCGGGCACGACAGAGCACACGGCGGAAGTGATTCGATGCGGCGCGGTTGAGCTGCTGTGTGGACTGCTTTTGTCGCCGAACGAAGACGTCTGCGAACAGGCCGTGTGGGCATTGGGGAATATTTCGGGTGACTCCCCGCATTGTCGCGACTTGGTGATTAATGCAGGTGCGATGATGCCGTTACTGGCGGTATTGCGAAGGTCATCTGGAAAGCCGACAATTTTGCGAAATGCGGCGTGGACTTTGTCGAACTTTTGTCGGGGTAAGCCCCGACCAGAGTTTGCCCTGATAAGTCCTGCGCTGCAGTTGCTTCCGCATTTGATTCATTCTCCGGACACAGAGGTCGTTGCGGATGCTTGCTGGACGCTGTCATACTTCTCAGACGGCACGACCGAGACGATTCAGGCCGTTATTGACGCTGGTGTATGCCGTCGTGTAGTGGACCTGATGGGCCACACAAAGACTTCCATTCAGACACCAGCACTACGCACAATCGGGAATATCGTGACAGGCAATGAACGACAGACGCAGTTGATGCTGGATATGGTCGTCTTGCCGCGTCTAGTACAGCTGCTAAAGCACGAAAAGAAGCTCATCCGCAAAGAAGCGTGCTGGGCAATATCAAATATCACTGCTGGATCGCCAAGTCAGATTCAGGAAGTGATTGATGCCAACGTGATTCCACCGCTGTTGTTTCAGCTGACGTCCGTAGAGCTGGATGTCCGAAAAGAAGCCGCATGGGCTATTTCGAACGCCACATCTGGCGGGACGGCAAAGCAGATTCAATATTTAGTACAGCAAGGTACGACCACTGCAACTACTGGCAGACGTTGTAATGTACTCACTGTGATTCACACGTTTGATCTTAGGCTGTATCCCGCCGTTAGTGAAGCTTCTGGGCGTGCAAGATCCGCGTGTGGTGAACGTGTCCTTGGACGCTCTGGAAAATATCCTTCGGGCAGGTGAGGCAGACATGTCTGTGGCTGACACTGAAAACCGCATGGCCCGATACATTGAGGAAGCAGATGGCATCGAGTTGATCCAGAATCTGCAATTCCACCAAGAAGAAGGTGCGTTTGCTGTGGACGTTGGGTCGACTGAAAATCAGGTTGGCTAACGCGGTCATACGTGCGCTGTTTTGTGGGATGCAGACATTTACGAAAAGTCCGTGCGTATCATTCGCGACTATTTCGATGGCGAAGATGAGGAAGATTTCGACATTGCGCCTGATTTGGATTATAGTTCCCACCGATATACGTTCGGAGTAAGTGGAGAAGCTGCAAGCACATCCGCAGATGGTGACAGCTTACGATTCAGCTTCTAGACTGTAAGTTTGAGTGCACGCGGAAGCGACTTCGGGTGTTCCGTGCCGGTCTGGGAGGCGCCACAAACGGTCACGCCAATAGGCGCCGCAGCCGCAGTACACTAGCAAAGAGCAAGCTCACCCACTATCGCCATTGCCCCGTATTTTAGACACCACGATCAGACGTGAAAATGTAAATGGGACTTTGTATTCCGCGCCGACATTGCAAAGCCTCTGTTGCTTGACACCTACTTGCTCACTCGTTCTGGTTCCAGTGTGTGAGTATCTTCTTCGCCTTCAGCTCCATCGGATGCTCACTATTCTGCGCCGTACGTGGGAACGACCAAAATGTGCCACTGGTGCAGCCAACAGCACGCCCTGTAGCGCAGCAAAAAAAGCACAAGATTCGAAAAAAGCGAATCAGAAAAAAATGAGTCGGACTCGTACTGTGCTTCGTGTAATGACATGTTCTTCGCTCGTACCAGAACATCCAGAGACAAAATCCAGTCATGAATGCCAGCAGCGTAAAAATCCTACAATAAAAACAGTGAGCATTAAGAGCGTCTTAGTACTGATTCACGGTACGTCGAACGCAAGAAGGGGCTCCCATGAACAAAACGCGAAACGTACGACGAGTTCTCACGACTCATTTTGCCAGTAATGCCCATGGCAATCCCGGCAAAACAGGCCATCAATGTCAGCACCAGGTACGTCACGGAACCATTCAGTAGCGGAGCAGGGACTTCCATCGTTTCTTAACGCGACGCACAGGAAGAGTGCCTGGTCCTAAGCTGAGATCGATTGTGGATTGTACTAAAACATTGCATTCGGGATGCGGGAGTTGGTGTGGTACACACCAAACAATGTGCCGGCTGGAGGTCCGATCGAAGGAACCATTGCATTCGCCTTCTCGTCGTCCCTTAATCATGACGCGCATAGGATATCGAGCGGTTACTGAGCTCTTCCAGCCCAATGATAAAGACCATTCGCTACGTGTGGATCAGTCGACACACAGACTAGCAAATACGTGCTACAAAAGGGGAGCTGCTAGTCGACCTGTGCACGCCACTCGATACAACAAAGTCGTCACCAGAAGCACATGGGGCTTCAACATTCGGCACACGATCAAAAAGGAGGCTGACGTCTCACTCGCTTGGCACTTTCGACACGTCAATGAGGTGGCGAAAGCGCTTACTTCTGACGTGTGTAGTACACGCTTTAGGGACTAAGGCGTCAGCGTTTTCATAGAGTGACAGAGCCTTGTGCAGACGTGTACGGCGCTGGTTTCGGCCACAAACATGAACGAAACAGTCACGAAGCGACAGAGAAATTCGTGACCAGTGACTTTGCCATCTTCGCTCGCACTCTGTACGCGCCAATCATATCGTAGGCGAAGGAACCCCACGTAGCGTGTCTTTGCGTACGATTGATAGCTGCTTTAGGCAAGGGACGAGCCATGGAAACACGTTGCCTTGTGAGGTGACTTCGGGACGATCACAACGTTAGCTTAGGTCCAGCAAGCAGCTGTATCCTCCGGCAAACGTACTGCTTTCACGTCAACTGTTCTCTTGACGTTATCCGCGCCGGCATATTGTCTTCGATGTATCCCGGTGATGCATCGATCGGGCAAGAGAGTGCTGTCGATAACCTTACGATACAACTGACATGTGCGATGCGGTGCTACTCATTCGTAGCCCGTGTCAGTTCAACTGGTCATTCAACGACTTGAGCGTTCTCGGTAGATACGCATCTCGGACACTGCCGCATCATTCGACCGGGTAGAAGCAGGACCGTAACAGCAGTAGCCGTGTCATCCGTTTGACAATTCGTACTCCCTATAAACGTTGGACTCCCCCTCACGACGAGCTGGTACGTCTATGAAAGTCTGCTGATGGATATCGGCACTCCGGCTGCGTAGGAAACGTCGACTGATCCCATGCTGCTGCAATCGCTTCAGGATGTCCGGCCTCGTATACTCACCACACTTGTCATTCATCGCGCCAAAGTAGCCTACCGCGAACTAGAATTAGACGTTGCAGGCGGTGTAAGCACAGCGAAGTTACGGACAGTCTCAGCGTAAGTGTAGGCAGGGTGCTGATAGTCGACTCGTACCGAGGTGTCGCCACTGGTGGCTTTCTCTTTGGGTTGTTCTTACGTACATGTAGCGTACGCCATTAGACACCATGACGGCCACAATGTATCTTTTGTCGAGTGTATTTGCTTCATACCAATCCGCAGATCTTTTCTATCGCAAAGTACCACAACGCGCTGCCGATTCACATCGGTGGTCGATGATCTACTTCATCGTGCCAATGACGGAAATCTCTTGTGGCTACATCTGCGCGAACGAACAAAGTTCGTAGTACGTCTGACTGACCTGTATGTCGTAATGGACATGCCACACTTCTCCTCGTTCGAAGCTGAACGCGATACTGAAGTTGCAGCCCTTGTATCCGGCCACTTGGTATGCAATGAAGCTATGACAACACTTGCTGTGTGTCACACACTCCGCAGCCTTCGGTTGCACTGTCCATTACGAACACTCAAGACACAGATCGGCTCGGTTGGTCTCATCGTAGCCTCTAGGCCTCGCGTGTCACGCACTAAACCCAGACGAGATGTTTATACACTTACAAACGTCGCAGAATGATATCGCGGTGGAGTCTCTCTGCAGCTGCAATAACCATCGTAAGGCTTCCGCCGACCGATTCTTAGCATTGGTGTCCAAGGACGGACACTAGCGCCTTCAGGTGCTGACTGGACGTGGATATCGATCAAGTTGAAAGCGCCAAGTCAAAAAGTAAACAAACAGAACACTTAGGACTCTTGGGGATGACCCTCCGAATATCGAGTCTGGCTGCAGTAAAACTACGTTCAGACGGCGGCTTGCGTGAGGCAGAAGCCCAGGAATCGTCAGCCAGCCTTACGAGCGCGACTCTAGTGAGCATCCCACAAATAGGGTGCACGCGTATCGACACGACCGTAGCCATCGACAAGCTGTTGTGATGACGCATGTCTTCGTTCAGCCTGCTGCGCGCTACCACATGTTGCAAGACTTCCTTGCGTCATGCGTGTCCTCATCAGGCTCTTGAATGCGCCGAACCATGACGTCGGAAGGCACTATGCATTGACACGTGACCCCAATCGAACCAACACGTTCACGACAAATGATCCCCGAAATAGGGTCGTCCAGCCGAGTTCAGCGCGCGTAACGTCTCGCCGGCTTGTGTGGGTTCAATCTTGTGTTGACAAGATCGACAGAGAGCACCACTTTTCTTATCACCGCGACGTGGCGGCAATGTGTGTGTACATCCTGTTCGTGCCCACGTGATTTGCTGTCAGCAGCGTGTTGCGGTCGCGCGTATGACGTCACGTTCTAGTTTACCGCCACGCAACAAGCCGTGCAGCAACTGAGCCGGCACACTTACCCTGCAATTCGAGCCAAACAGCAGCTAAGACAGAAAGACACAAACGCAGCACAACGGAGAAGAAGAAGAAGAAGAAGGAGAGAGAGATTGGAAAAAACAACACTACGCCACCAGTCGCGACCTTATCTGTTCTCGTCCAGCACTCTCGTTCTTCGACCGTCTTTGCACGACAACGTCGCCTCGATCCCTCATCCATTGCCTACCCGAGAGTGTCAAAACGTGCCACACGTTGCAAAGCAGCAGCAGCAGCACAGACTGTATGGGAAACTCCCCTTGCCAAACGCACCTCGCAGCGCGATATCGCTTTTCACAGGGCCTGGACCCCACCGTCGGCTCCAACGGCTCACTTTCGAATCTGCGTCTCCGTCCGCACGTCCCGACGCGGCTTTCGCCTCTGCCCCAACTCTGCACACGCGCGCGCCCCCGTCCTCTGGGCCACGTTGATCATGGCGTCGTCGGACTTTCTCAGCGACCCGTTCACGGTGAACAGCAAGAACGTCGAGTACACGGACGACGAGATCACGTCGCACTACTCGTACACGACCACGCGCGTCGAGGGGAACGTGGCCACGCCCCTGGACGTCAAGTACACGCTCAAGACGCAGCGCCGAGTGCCTCGTCTCGGGGTCATGATTGTCGGCCTCGGGGGCAACAATGGCTCGACGTTGGTGGCCAGCGTCCTCGCGAACAAGCACCACCTGACGTGGACCACGAAAGAAGGCGTGCAGGAGCCCAATTACTTTGGCTCGATCACGCAGGCGTCGACGGTCCGACTCGGGTCGAACGCCCAGGGCGAAGGCGTGTACATTCCGTTCCACAATCTCTTGCCCATGGTCGCGCCCAATGATCTGGTCCTTGGCGGCTGGGACATTTCGTCGCTCAACTTGGCCGACGCGATGAAAAGAGCGCAAGTGCTCGACTTTGACTTGCAGCGCCAGTTGGTGCCGTACCTCGAATCCATGTCGCCCCTCCCGTCGATCTACTACCCGGACTTCATTGCCGCAAACCAGGCAGATCGGGCGGACAATGTATTGCCTGGTTCCAAGCAGGACCACTTGGACGCTGTGCGCCGCCACATTCGGGACTTTAAACAGAGCAACAACCTCGACAAGGTCATTGTGCTCTGGTCGGCCAACACGGAGCGCTTTTCGGACATTATCGACGGCGTGAACGACACGTCGGCGCATTTGCTGTCGGCCATTCAGGCCAACGAAGCGGAAGTGTCGCCGTCGACGATCTTTGCCGTCGCGTCCATTCTCGAAGGCTGTTCGTACATTAACGGCAGTCCTCAGAACACGTTTGTGCCTGGCGTGCTGGACCTGGCCGAGGAGAAGAAGGTGTTTATAGGCGGCGACGACTTCAAGTCGGGGCAGACCAAGATCAAGTCGGTGCTCGTGGACTTCCTCGTGTCAGCTGGGATCAAGCCCACGTCGATCGTGAGCTACAACCATCTCGGCAATAACGACGGCAAGAACCTCTCGGCCCCGCAGCAGTTTCGGTCCAAGGAGATTTCCAAGTCGAACGTCGTGGACGATATGGTCGCGTCCAATCGGCTGCTGTACAAGGAGCACGAGCACCCGGACCACGTTGTCGTGATCAAGTACGTGCCGTACGTGGGTGACAGCAAGCGCGCGTTGGACGAGTACACGTCCAAGATCTTTATGAACGGCACGAACACGATCTCCATGCACAATACGTGCGAAGACTCGTTGCTGGCGTCGCCGCTGATCCTCGACCTTGTGCTCATCTGTGAGCTCGCGGAGCGCATTACGCTCAAGAAGGACGACGCGTCGTCGGACTTTGAGCACTTGCACTCGGTGCTGTCTCTCCTCAGCTACATGCTCAAGGCCCCGCTCGTCCCGCGTGGCACGCCCGTGGTGAACGCGCTCTTTGCGCAGCGCGAGTGCATGATCAACCTCTTCCGCGCGTGCGTTGGGCTTGCCCCGGAGAACCACATGATGCTCGAGAACAAGTTGTTTAGCGAGCTTTGTGCGCGCCAGTGAGCACACGGACTGCACGCTGCGAACAATAAGTACCACGCGACGGGATCCGACCGATTGCTAGGGTGATATTGTCTCGCGGTGATTGGCGGTATTGCAATACAACAGGGCGCGCCCGTGCGTCGACGACTGAACCGAGGCTAAAAATAGAACCGATCAACAAGGAACAACGCCGAGCGTGGTCCGTTTTGTCGAAATGTGCAGCCCACGGTTTTGTCGCGCCAAAGTCGGGGGTGGGTACACGTGGCCGCCCCCCGCTCATTGGCTGAGCGCATCGACGGGGGCCCTAACGTTACTACTGTGCACGACTTTTGGCTCTGACACTTCGACATCTCGAGCAGCTCCGCGAGATCAGTGCCATGGCGACCCCTGCGAAAATGCGCCTGCGCTCCGACAAGCACTTGGGCAACATCACGAAGCGCGGCCGCGTGGCGCAGCCAGCAAAGGTGCGGAGCGGCGTACCGCTCGTTTGTTGCAGTGTGCGCTCGGCGGTTGTCACCTCACTGTGAGTGCGTGTATGAATGCAGGAAGAAAAGGGCTACAGTGTGGGTCCGTTGCTGCTCGGCTTCCTCGTGTTTGTGCTCGTGGGGTCGTCGCTGGTGCAGATGCTGCAGATGGCTCGGGGCAGTGAGTAAAGGGGGTCTCGTCTCGGTGCATTTGCTCCGCGAGAGTGCGTAGAAGAAAGCGAGAAAGAGAGAGAGAGAGACGACGGCGACAATGAGAGAGAGAGACGACGGCGACAATGAGAGATGGTGTGTTGCTGGTGCTGCAGTGCGGACGGTCGTCGCGCTGACCTTTTCAGATCGGGTCAGTCAGTCACTTGTCGACGGCAAGCAGCACGAACGCTCCCCAACTTAATCGTGAAAACCCTTTTTCCGTTTCTCTAGTAGAGCGTTTTTTCTCTCTCTCTCTCACTGCCGGTATGGAGTTCACAAGGACCTTCACGATCGAGAAGATGTCGTTCGTTGGTCGCGCATGTAATGTATCATGTTGGGTGGTCGTGCACTAGCGATCGATGGTGGTCGAGCCGTTGCTGAATGAATGCTACCGCCACAATGCTTGGCAACGGAACGCACAGTCCCGCAGTGCCCCACGTGTCGGCAGTTCTCTACAATTCCGAGTGCGTCGACTCGGTCTCTTTGATCTTGGCGATAAAGTCGGCCTTCTCCACACATCCAACGCACTCGACGCCACGGTCGCCCAGGATCTTCCGCAGCTGCTTCACGCGCATCTTCGAGTAGTCGGTGTTGGCGTCCGTCTTGACCGCTGCACGACGCCATCCATATCACACCACACACACGCAACCAGCCAGTTACACTACCGACACATGATATACACGCGTGCAACTGTAGTCAGGCGCACAGTTGATGCATAGACGTACGGTATCGCATGGAGCAAAAGTCCGGGTTCTTGTGTTCGAGATACTTGCAGACCTTGAGCGACTCCTTGTTCATCACGACTTGACGAGCCACGTCCGACTTCATCGGCTCTAGATTGTAGCACTGCAGCACCACCATCGTCGCATTCATCATAATGGCACGTATACGACAATGCGACACACGACACAAGAGGAAACCAGTGAGTCTTTTGCCGACCAGATCGACCACTCCATCAGCGTCGTACCAGTTTGTTGTCTTTCCTGTTGAGCTTCTTGCCGCACTGCTTCGTGACGGCCAGTTCAGCCACCTCCTGCTCTTTCTTCCCTGGACTCTCCGACTTGAGCTGCTTGTACGTGCTCTTTAGGTCGTTGATCACCTTGACGCACACTGGATCAAAAGCACGCTTTTCAGTACACTCGAGCGCAAACAGTCTCCATAGGAACTTCACCACAAACACACAAACACACATACACACACACACCTTCACATTCTTTTTCGTCCGTGCTTTGCACCGCTGAAGTCGAGCGAAACGCCAGCGCGACGAGTGCGACAAGTGCGAGACGCTTTGAGCTCCACATGGTTTATGCACCCAAAACACTGCGGACGTGGTCGCGAATATTCAGAAATGACATTTGGTGGTCTGTTGGACGCGTGTCCGGGGAACATACATATGTTGTGTAAAGTACGCAACTGGTATCGCCTTCTAACAAATCAAAGAGGTATTAAGTTTCGATTCACGAACGCATACACACTCGTACGCAGCGATAAACTCGACTCGATAGATTCGGGGATATCAACTGTGCACAGACAGACTGCCACGTGGACCTCGCGCCGCACAATGGCTACATCCGAGTATCGCTGTTTTGCCTACGAGTAGCGGGTTTGCAAGTCGTTGAAAAAGCCGCTTGTCATGTTTTTGAGCTTCTCGTGACAATGACGAGGACAGCATAAGGACAATGACAATAAAACGCGACACAATGGTTAGCACGGCGGTGCACACAATGTAGCAACGCTTTCAACGTCCCCCACAAAAGTACCTTGGCCGCCTTGCTGGCCACGCTGTCCTTCATTAGCTGCAACTGATACGCCGCCTCATCGGTCACTACAATCGGGACCCACAGCACCATGTACAAGTAGTGAGTGAGCAACCGTTCCATACATACGCGTGATCATTCGTAACAAACGTACTCTCTCCGGAAGTTGATTGGCCTCTCGGGTCGTTTCCGTAGAAAGCATCGCTCGAAATTGACTGCGAGCCCTGGAAGCGTAAAAGCTGCGAGCTATCCACTTGCACCGCTTCGCCACTGAAAAAATTATCCGATGATATGGACTTGGCGTTCTTGTATTTGTCGAGCGTCTGCGTCTCGCCCGCATCCATATGATGCATTACCGATGCAGGTGCAGCTCTGGCTGCTAAGCGGTCACTGTGCAGCAACATACAATGACGAGTTAGATGTGCGCTGGCACACCCCATAGTCTAGTTGACGACACACTTACGCCTCAGCCTCCTGCAGCGCCCGTGCTAGTGCTTCGTCGTCCTCAATCTGCTTTTCTGCCGACAGTTCCTCGGCAGTGGGGGGAGGGGGCGGTGGGTTCTACGAACGACAACACAAGGGACGTGCAAGTACACCAGTGAGTATACGTCGCCCAGCGCACGATCGTTCGAGTTGACGCACTTCGAACGGGATGTCGTCAAAGTCAAAGTCGCCTGCGCCAGTCGACAATTTCGTAGCTCCTAGACGAGTCGCCTTGCCTCCTGTTGAAAGCTGCGTAGTGCCCGAGACAAGCAGCCGAAATGCCATTGTCAATACACATCGTTCGGCAAAGCGGAACATGTCAGCAACGTAGCTCGGTACCTTGCCGCGCGACTTCAGTCGTCCAGAACTAGTCGCAGCGGGCGTCATCGCGTCACCACTTTTCGCTCCTAGCAGTACGACAGGGCGGTTGACATGTAGCAGCCCCGACTGCGACGCCCGAGGCACATCTGACGATGGCTTATTCGCAGCAGAAACGGTAGCCATCTCACGCTTCAGGTGTCCGTTCACAGTAGTTGCCGATCCGTTCTCACTTTTGATCTCCACGTGCTTTACTAGCGCATCAAGACCGTCCACTTCGTTGTCACGGAGATTCTATTCACGCAAAAAGACCCAGTTACGACATGAGCCTCCAGCTCTTTCGCCGCACACACGCACGAAACCACGAAACCACCACAACGTCACTGTCAGGCACCACATGTACACACCTTTTCCTCCACGACTGGCGCGACGATCGGCAGCGTCGCTGCTTTGATCTTCTTTGCCAGCACCAACTTGTACATGTTGGCAGCTTTCGAGTTGTATTTGGCTTCAATCTGCACGCCCAAAAGAGCACAACCAACACACAGAGAGAACATACAAAAAAGTACACCCAAGCACGAAACAGCACCGAAACACCAGTGTAAGCAAACACATTGATGCAAAGAAGCAGAGGGAGAACGAGGCCCTCGTGACAAGGTCGTCGTCGTCATCATCATCATCATCATCATCGTCATCATCCTGCACATCGGCCAGCACCTACACTAGTCATCTCTGCTGCCCCGTGCTGCCGAAAGAACTTGCGCGCCTCTGCGTTGCCGCCCTCGGACATAGACTTGAGCTGGTCTTCGGTCCACTCGTCCATGTCAATGGACCGTACGAACGACAGGTGCACGCCCAGACGGCGGTGATAGCCCGAGCAGTCGAGACAGATAAAGACGCCGTAGGTGACCGTGGCCCACGTCGGGTGCCGCTTGTTGCAGTCGAAACATCCCTTGTTGGCCACGGACGAGCGCAGTTTGTGGAAGTACGCGTCGCGCACTGCCGTCGGGACGTACACGGGTTTGCTCGGAGAGCTCATGACGCGACGAGTCGGTCGTCGATTTGGGTCGCGAGCGGCTAAATTCGGTTGAATCGGGCGCGAGCGATTTTGGGTTTGCCTCTGGGCTTATTTTGGGAGATTACGCTCGAGTCGATGCTATTGAGTGGAGATTTCGTTGTCAAGCAAACAGTCGGTACATCTTGCATCGTTCTTGTGTATGTATGTATGTATGTATGTATGTATGTATGTATGTATGTATGTATGTATGTATGTATGTATGTATGTATGTATGTATGTATGTATGTATGTATGTATGTATGTATGTATGTATGTATGTATGTATGTATGTATGTATGTATGTATGTATGTATGTATGTATGTATGTATGTATGTATGTATGTATGTATGTATGTATGTATGTATGTATGTATGTATGTATGTATGTATGTATGTATGTATGTATGTATGTATGTATGTATGTATGTATGTATGTATGTATGTATGTATGTATGTATGTATGTATGTATGTATGTATGTATGTATGTATGTATGTATGTATGTATGTATGTATGTATGTATGTATGTATGTATGTATGTGCATACGAATAGGTCGAAGGAGACCAAATTGTTTAGCATGTCGTCGACCCGCATCGTGTCTTAATGGCGTGTTATCCGACTGGATGATTGATATGCGAAAGTCGTAGCTGTTTCCAAGCAGCTTTGGACCCTGCTGAGCTCCTGTGATTCGTTGCGAAGGGTCGATACTGCTTGCACGATCTAATGCTCTCAAGCCGTGCCTGTATCATTGTTCGTAGTACTAGTTGACCTTCTAATCTGGTTACAGAACAGCACAAAACGAACACACCGGCATGATACGAGCTCGTCCAAACGCCCTTCCGGTTGGTCTCACCAGCTGTGAATAGCCATGTCGGACCCATAGCGAAAAAGCAATACTGCATCGGCTTGCGTATGACAAGCACCGGCAAACGCGCTACATTTGTTCGCACAAGTCGATCTTGCTCTACACCACCATCCTCGTCTTTCGGCTTTTATCGCGTAGAATCATAAAGGCCTTCATGCTTGCTACGTACATGGTGCACATCAAGAAGGAACAAGATTCGGTTCGCCAGAAAGTCGCATCTTGCAAGAGCTTACGTACTCACGCTTGGACACATCCGAACGCACAAGGTAAAGCGCTTTACTCGCACAAACAGTATTTATTCCACATCGAGAGTCCGAACAAGGGCAGCATCCTGTGTCTGCGCCATATGCACATCGGTGACACTCTGCATAGGCTCACTTTGACATTGCCGGTCGACATGCAAGGACCGTGTGCGCGAACCTAAACTTTCGCTATTCCGATTACCGTGGACCACCAATCGACGAATTAAACCGGCCTTTAGAGAACCTTGACTCACGAAGAACCGCGCAATAAGTGGCGGCGACAGCTCGTCTGGATCTGAACACTCCCCGGATAGGCCTCTCCTCACGTCGGCTTAGCCAACGCTATACGGTCCTGTACCTACCCTTAGGGTTACCCCACCATGCGTGAAGGGTTTGAGACGCAACGATACCGAGCCTGGTTCGTTCGATGCAGAAACGTCACATGCCATGAGTCTGTAGCTTCGGTCAGCTTCGAACGCTCGACCTGTTGGGTCTCAGAGAGGACAGTCGAAGTAAGTCGTTCCACCCTTGCAGAATACGAGTCTTTACAGAATCAAGCGTAGATAATCTACAAGTGCTACCAAGTGTAGCGGATATACCACTGCTCTTTGCCGGAGGAAGTCATAGACTCAAAGAGCCAATTTGTCCGTGATAAAGAACAACGACTCCCAGAGTGCCCCACCAATGGGTTCTAGCAACTGAACCGAGTCAACCTTCTATTTAGCACTACGACACACGAGTAAACCCTGCTACAGAACAACTCGACAAGTCTACTACCTTGACTAAGCTTTTATATCTGGTAAAAGGGATTCAATGACAGAAAATTTGCAGCATACAGTGCTCATGCGTGTATGCCTTGAGAAAGCTTTACATCTTTGCGATCTAAGACGCCTTGGCAAGGCACGTGCTTTCTAGTGATCAAAGTGTGATCTAATAATTATTTCATTTGCACGCGGAGTGGAACCCGTCTGAGGACCTTAATGCAAAGTTTCATCGCTACTAAGTAACAACCGAAACGCATTTTGTAGGCGGTATTAACGTCTCCAGAACCATGCATGGTACTATCTGAGCAACATGAGTGGTACACTACAGGATGCACGAACCCATACCGAGGTCGTACTTCCACAGTGTACCGCCGTTACAGTAATGCATAAGTCAGTGGAAGCTAAAGGAATTGACGTAGTGCGTTGAGCTTAACAATGGCACCCATCGAAAGCTCTCGAGAAAATTGACATACGAGCGGGATAAGATAGGCGCATCATCGAGGCGAAGATCGGGCAGTGGGTCATGCATGCAAATTTATATTGTCCAGTCCATACAAAGAGTTTGACGACGCTGCTGTAGTTGAATCCCTGCTGATAGATATCTTACGGAATGCAAAACACCTGGTGAAATATTTCGCTTCGCTTCGCTTCCTTACTCCTCTGACATGCATGAAGATCGCTCTATCGTCATACGGAAAGCGCTGGGCGAAAATTGACTGTTAATGGGGTTATTCCTTTGTGGCGGAAACTACATAAATATACCCTCGCGGATTCTACCAAACGATGTCCTTTGCGAAGGATGGCGTGCTCACATCTGACGGCAAAAAAGCAGCGACGTGGACTGACGTCAAATACACGGTCATATGTTGCACAGACGATACTGACGAGTTCTATGGAGTAAGTGTACGTAGATGCTATTGCACACTTAATAGTCTGGCGGATTTCAGACAACCCGAGGAGCTGTTGAATTTGTTCACTTCGCTTCTGCCTGGATGGGAAAAGCGCGCTGACGGCTTCCAATCGATGCTCTACGATAGATTCCCGAAGATTCGAGCAAAACGAGCTGCAATATGGCTGAAGTCGGGCAAGACTCCTAAGGAAGTGTACGACTTGATGCCAATCAGCAGTTACATCAGCTTTCCTCTCCCCTCTTGTGACGAGGATGTGGATGTACTGACAAGTACATGGAGCACTCGATTATTTTCTCCAACGGCTACTTGATGGATAGGCTGCAGCGTACAGCGATGACAAAAACAGAAATACGCATCCAGGGGGACAACGCTGTGACTGCACAGCAGAAGGAGGAGAACGTGAGCAGGTGATGAGTGACCACACCGTGGCTTTATTGCTGTGGGTCAATTCCCAATGGATTGCCATTGTCTGAAATGTCGTGGGAAAAAGCTTTAGGACGACTGCTGAAGGACGGGGCTCTGGCTAATCGGGTGAAGGACAGAGCTATTGCTAGGTTGCTGTGGGGAAACAGATAGTGCTGAAGTGGCGGGGGGGGGGTCATCGGTATTGAAGCACTGGCGAAATGATGTCTCGCGCTGACAGGATGCAGAAACAGCTCTTAACCGGACAATATAGTGGAGAGAGAAGGTAATTTTCAGGTTGTGGTTGAATTCAGGACTGACTCGTGAGCAAGTGTACCACATGATGCCATTCGCAATGGAGGAACGTTTTGGTCCATGTAAGTGAACAGACACGCACAGACGTGGAAAGACTTTTGCACAGAATATTAGCAGTGGCTGAGTGAGATACGTCACTCTTTACTGCAATGGTGACAAGACCAAATTTGATGACTGTGAAGTGGTTTGCGTGCTAAAGGAACACGTAAACAATATGAAAGAGCTGATGTTTTTGTCGAGCAATCTTCAGACGAAGCCTGATGGAAGAAGGAGCTTGCAGATCCACTACTACTGTGTCGGCATTGTTTAAACACAAGTAAACGTGTCTTCTGGTGAAGCGCTTACCACCATTTGTACTCAGAACTTTGTTTTGCACACACAACTTGTCGTGTCGTACCACGTACGTAAAGTCGGCAAGATCGCCAGCACACGTTGGACACGTTACCAGTCGACGAGCTTGGACCGTAGCGCTCAAGTCTTTCGTGCGCTCTTGTTCAATGTAGATGATATTTGGTCATTTTGCTTACCGCCATTTGTGTCGTTCACGAGCTCACGAAGGTATGAGTAAGATTGTAATGGAGGTGACCCGATGGATGATCCAAATGCGATTGTTCTGAGTGCCATCTCGGCACGGTCGACAATATCGCCATGACCCGGCACGAATTTTAACCAGGGTAAAGAGCCTCAATGCTTTTGCAGCGAATACGTACGTGTCTTGGTAAGCAAAGCGTGCTATTATTATGCCAGATGCAAGAGCCACGGCAGGAAACAAAGCATGCTCACGGTGCAAAAGGAGGTATCCCACGAAAATTCTGGTAAGCTGCTGGCTGAGCGATGTCTCGCCATGGGCGCAAACAAGCGAGTGGCTCTCGTACAACTCGCACAGCAAATAGATCTCACGCCATTTGCTGACATGTAATCTCCGCGAAGAGTCGATGTCACTTTGACCTCTCAATTGCACTTCCAGCTACGAGCGTCATCGAAAGCACAACCTTGCACGCAAACACACACGTTGTGCTTGCCCGCACCGTCCTCAGCCTGAGTGCAAGGTCGCTGAAGCAAAAAAGACGAACCGCAAAAAATGCGCTATGCGTTCTCTTGCTGCTCGTTCAGCGACACCTTCATCTGATGTGGTACATCTACCCTCTATGCGGGCAAGGACGTCACAGTCGACGCTTCATTGCCTAGCATCGTCAATACCCATGTAGATGGACCGGACGCGTTTCCTCCAGACTTTTATACTATCGCATCTCCTGACCTGCCATCAAGAACATACTCGGACGCCGCTGCTACTCCGGCCTTGCGTTTGCCTGCGGTTGTGAGCGTTACGTCACTTGCAGCTCGTGGCCATGTGGCCTTGATGCTGCCGCTCGGACAACGCGATCTGTAGGCGTTCCATGTCTTGTTCAAAAAACAAGTACGTCACTTGTTTGTAAACAAGTGCACCGCTTGTTTTTGTATGATATTGCTGTGCACCGCTTGTTTTTGAATGCTATTGCTCGGCAGACCACGTGTTAAACGCAGTACAGTCCACATCCTTCAGCGATAAAAGACTCAAAACTTGTGTGAAAAGCATGCATCCGTTGATAAACACGCTAGATCTACAGCCTCTGCAGCTTGTACCACAGCTGCGTCGCGTCGCGTGACTACCAAACACAACATCTTCTCTTGTCCGAGCGGCTCTGATCCGTCAACAACTGAATACACGAAACCACGACCAGTTAGAAAAAACGTTTCCTTCTCTATGTTCTGTACAAAAGGAGGATCACTTGATCCCTTTCTAAACGCATCACACCTCCGTTCCATTCATTACCTGGATCTTGCATTTTGTATCGACCCGTGCGATTCCATGTTTACGCTCCTGCTACAGACTCGCGTGTAGCCAAGTGGCCACGCGGTTTCTTCATCGAGTCAGGGATGATCGGACCGTCGTATTGGTCGGTCGGAAGGCCCAGCGACCGTCGAAGCGGTACTACCACTAGCGGCAGCGACAAAGCCACGGCCCCGATGGCGCAGGAGACCACCACCATGGGCTCACGGTCCAAGTAATGACGGAGGAACTTGCCGACGACCATATCACTAGAGCAGTCCCGAATTGGGTTGAGCTTCGCAATCTGAACCTCTCGTTACAAGTTCAGGTGCACCACATCAATCACACGACGTAGCGACATTTCGTGGTGTCGCTCGCAGTGCCATTGATCGTGGAATCCCGTAATCTTTCGTGAGAAATCCGTTATTTACATGCTACGTATGACTTTCGCCAAGTCGCTGCAATGCTACAGTGGCTCTTGCACAATGGCCGTCTCGTCCAACTTGATTCGTACTACCGAACTCATGTCCAGCTCTGTGTTATACTTTCTCGCAAGTAGTTCGTCGGAACTTCCTCATGTACTCACCGCCGCTCAATGTCGGTCCGATCTAGACGCGACTTGTCCATATACCATCCGATCTACGAGTTTGGCCCTCTGCACGATGCGTTGCGTACGTACATCATCAGTCATGAGCTCTAGTAGAGCTTCTTGTACAACCCCTGGCTCAGTACTATCGCTGACGATGGCACAGCGCAACGAGTCGACGTGGCTCTTCATCACAAACGGTGGCTCCGTCCAATGGTGCCGATACGGTAGCTGCTGGTTAAGCTCATTTGAGCTCGCTCTGCCCGTCGCCCAGTTGACGCATCGAGCCCTTGTAACCGGTCTTGTCCGTGCGTGTCGCACACGGAAAGGGTGGACTGGGATGGCAGCAGGTTCGTGAAGTGGCTATGACCCCGCGCGACCATTTTTCTCTAGCCGTCGCACCCTCGAACAAGTTGCTACGGCCAGTCTTCTGTGAATTTGCATTGGATTGCTGCTGTCTTGATATTCTACACGCCATCCAAAACCACCATAAACATGCCTGTTGCGAGCGCGGTCATCTGATGTCAACAAGGTATACCGCTCACGTTAACATGCCTGCTTACCATCGTCTCCATCCGGTCCATCGCAAGCTTACGTCCCGCAACAAACCGTCGTGCACTTGCCGTACATGATCCAGCACGTGTCAATTTGTTGCATGCTGCAACAAACAGTTGCAGCTCAAGTTTGTGCTCCGGATCGAATGCACTCGCTTGCTACGCTGGACAAATTGCAGACACGTACTCCTCATTAGTGAGTCAACCCGACGCATTCCATCCTTACGGCTAATGCTCCTCTGCACAAACGATTGTCGCTGCGAAGCGAGTCGCAGTGGCCGGCGGTGATAACCTCGAAGCCCAGCCATGGATGCCTGAAAACACCGTTTCGACCACGTTCGGGTGGGGACTCTCTCTGGTCATATCACCCAGCTGCTCTTGCAAGGTCGAGTGAGACCTCGTCGAATAACACAGACACAGTTGTTAGTTACATTCACCCACCAACGCAAACGTACCATAGTGCGAGTTGGAGGTGCTAGCGGAGGAACTTTGAGCCCGACAATTTATTTATCCTACTTCACGTGTTGGGTCATATCAGTCTGCTTTTTTTCCGTATCATTCGACGCCCGTCGTTATCTAATGGCCTCTCTGGTTGCCTGAGCTGGCGAGTAAATGCCAAAATGTTCTGAGCTAGCACTTCCGACGCACGACTGCATGTAATTCGTTTCGCCTTGAAGGGAGCACTATCGGTAGCTGGTAGCGCCACTTTCACCATTGACCGCAACTCGGATTGCAATCGCTCATTGCACACGAGATTCTCGTATCGCATCCAGTCAGCGTCAACACTCGAGTTCTCCGACGTCATTGCACGATGACGAACGGCCAACAAGCGGGTGCATAATGCCTTTATCAACTGCAGTTGGGTCAAGCGAATTGGGTCCAGACTCGTGGGTGCCAGCGGGCAAACTGCTAGCTGCATAGCTGGTAGAAGCATTCCACATCCAAGCTTACAGACAACGAGTTTCCTCAGTAGCAGCAGTAGAAACAGATTCATCCGTGTCTTTCCTGACGAGCACGAAGCGAGCTTCTGTTCCATATAACGCAGTACATCACGCACAAGGCATACCGGCAACGTGATCACCACCGCTTTCACGAGCTCCGCAAACGTGTCTGCTCTCCCATAATAATTATCTGACGAAAAGTCGGCCTCGTCGCCGTTCATATCCTCACCGCGTCCACACCAAAGCTTCGTACACTGCTGGAGGACTGCCCACAACAAGGCTTGCATGCCGCTCGTGCAACGGCGAAAGAGATTCTGCAATACAGCGATCGCCTTCGTTGCCAACGTAGCTGGGCCCATATACGCGCAGCGCATAATCTCCTGAGTGACATTCAGGCGAGCCCAGTCGCGACTGCTTTTCGCTAGCGTGTCGCTCATGACCGCAGCATTCATAACGTCCAGAATTGTCTCCTGTCTCTGCCTTCGTCGACCCAAATTCAGCAGAGCTGCTAGCAAGCGCACCACACGGCCGCTCGATAACACCCGCCGGGCAAATTCTCCTGCATCACTTGTTGCCGAAGCCAGAGTTTTCAACATCGTCAGTAGGTGCATCGTCGTGGCTGATGTGTTGCGCGAGGTGGAGGAATCGGCACATCGGCCATGTTCCGCAAGTGGCTTGACTACAGCGCTTCGCTTCACACTGATATTCGCGCCGCCGTCACCACAGCTTCCAAGGTACAAGGAAATGGCATTGCCAACGATAGTAGACGCATCAAGTGCGTAAGTTCCTTCTAGACTTGCAAAGGCTCCTAGAACCTCCTGCAGTAAAGCATCCGCGATATGATGCGTCGAAGGGAATAGCAAGTTTAGCGCCTCCGAAAACTTCACGGCAACATCGTCGTGCGCATCGTCCTGGACGAAAACGCGACTCAGATGCCGGAAATGAGACTGACATACTTGGATCGTCAAGTTTTGCAGCTTCTGACCAAGTTCACTTTGACTCCCAGCGGTGTCTTGAATGGTCACGCACAGAAGCGCGTGGACGTACCCCCAAGAAAGTGCTGTCCGTTTATCCGTCCACGCTGTAGACCAAATGTCGAGGAATAATGCGCTCGTGCGGGCATCAACTGACACTAAGAGACCAATAGTGAGCTCCATCTTGCTTCTCGCGAGCTGCACTGACTGGCTTCCCACTGCATCGAGGTCTTTAGTTGCCACGCAAGGAGTGGCGAGTGACCCACTAGAACCGCTATGCTTGCTCGTTTGTTCAAGCCACTGGGAGTCTACGCCGCCAAAGACGAAGGGCGTGTAGTCGCGAAGGATCGCACGCAAGGCCGGTTCCTGCTCTGCTGCGTGACATTGAGGGGACAGGACGAAGCTCAGAACGTGTTTGACAAACCATTCTGGCTTCTTCACACTCAACTTCATTGTGGAGCAAACTAAAAAGTCCACCAGCTCTTTAAATGACCCGTCCTTGCCTGCTTCATCCAGTTGCAGCTTTCGGCGTCGCTCTAACCACCCTGCCATGAGTGAAGAGCTCCAGTCTGTACCGGCATACTTGAAAGCCCGCTCAACACAGTCTCGTATGAGATACGATCGTGACTCCACGAGCAGCTCCTTCAAGCCGTTGTCGGCCAAGAGCAACTTCACAAACCCGCACGTGATCCGGCACACGCGCAGCTTGCCTTCTTCTGCCAGTAGTTCCACAAGCTGCTGCGCAGGATCTTGGATCCGCCACTCGACGGCATCTTCATCTCGCAACGCAATGTTCTCGGCAACAAGGTGGCTCCGTAGCAGTGCTCGCCACATGGTGTGCAAGACGCTGTCACTACACTCGATCGCGCATGCTGCGATCCACGGACTAAGGACGAACCTGTCCGCATTGTGCTCCAACAGACAGCGCAACAGCGATCTACACACCAGATCATGACGATGTCTCCACACGGGCCCCATGCTCACGCTGCAAATGCGCACAAGAGCGTCTGCAACTGGATACTTGCTGGCCGAGATTGAGCCGCCAACTTTGCTCATTTTCTCCAGCATAGCGGGCAGCAGCAAGTCAATAAATTCCGGTCGCTTGAGCAAGAATCCCGCCAGCACTTCATCCAGTAGCGTCGGATACGTGCACGGATAATACGCTGCCAAGAGCGTCGTAAGTTCCTGCAAAAAGCTCGAAGCAAAGCCCGAGCGGTAGCACCAATTCGTCACGTGGTTGCCCACCACCTTCACCAGCACTGCACGACTCAATTGAGCGTCCACCCGATCCACTAGTCCCTGCGGCACGAGCTTTCCTGCATCCACACCAAACTTCAGCCCATCCAGCTCTGTGGCTGCGAAAAAGTCCTCCGTCCGTCGCCCACCTCGTCGCTTCCTCTTCAATGTCCGCGTCCCCGGTCCTCGAGCATGCAAATTGCTGCTACTGCTGCTACCAGGTGCACTCCCCCCGTCGGTCTTCGCCAGTGGAAAATAATAGTCAAACAGCGAGCGTGTCCTGCCTGGACTGCTCTCTCCCGCTGCACCCCCCGCGCCATTCAGGCGCTCTCGATCACTGACCGCCGCCTCATTGGCACTGGTGTCGCGTCGTTTCTTGTCACTCGCACGAGGGACCAGCGTCGGCTCGAACACCGACGACACGTCACTCGCACGGGGGGGTCGGCCCACCGCCCCCGCCGTCGTCGCTCCTCGTGAGGCTCTGGATGCTGATAGGCTCGTGACGAGCTGTCCAGTCGTCGCGCGTCGCATGGACTTTGACGCGCTTGCTCTTGTGTGCACTGACGCCGTGCGGCTTCCGCGCCACGTCCTTCTCGCTCTCTTCTTGATCGTCGACGACCGCCATGAGCGACGCCATCTTCATCTTAGACGACGACGACGAACGGGGCGCTCGACTGCGGCTGGTGTCGGCGGCGTCGGTAGGTACGTAGGCACTCGAGGCGGAAGAAGCAGAAGCAGAAGCGGCAGGACGCGGCCGCGCGCGGCTCCGACGACGCGGTGCTTCGTTCGGGTCATGATCCGGATCGTCCGCGCGGCCCATTGGAGAACCGGCCGACGGGCGCTTTTGGCTCGGGGGTTCCGAGGCGATTTTGAAACTGGGTGCGCTCTCACTCACTACTGAGTGGGCGGGCGAGGATGGCAAAAGGGTGGCGCGGATGCGGGTCCGGGTCTGGGTTGGCGCCGTGGCGTGGGTTTGCGAACGGCTCGTGGGACCCGGGTTGACTATGCCAGGCGCGGGCCGCTTGTTGGCTGGCCTGCCCGTGCGAGGACGGAGTATAGTCAAGTCAAGTAGTCATGGAGAGCTTCTCGCAGTCGAGGGGATTGCGATTTACTGACTTTGGTCGAGATCGTATGACTGACAGTGCCTGCGACAATAACCGGTGCTACTACTACTAAAAACTACTACTACTACTGCTACTACGACTACTACTACTAATACTACTACTACTACTACGACTACTACTACTACTACTACTACTACTACTACTACTACTACTACTACTACTACTACTACTACTACTACTACTACTACTACTACTACTACTACTACTACTACTACTACTACTACTACTACTACTACTACTACTACTACTACTACTACTACTACTACTACTACTACTACTACTACTACGACTACGACTCACGACTACTACTACTACTACTACTACTACTACTACTACTACTACTACTACTACTACTACTACTACTACTACTACTACTACTACTACTACTACTACTACTACTACTACTACTACTACTACTACTACTACTACTACTACTACTACTACTACTACTACTACTACTACTACGACTACTACGACTACGACTACTACTACTACTACTAGATGAGAAAAAATTGTGGCTGCTACCTCTGAGATTTGCGACTACTTGTGCCTTTTTATTATTACTTCTTAGATTGTGAGCAACTACTGAGAATAGGAATACTAGTACTACCAACATTGCGACTGCTACTTCCAAGATTGCAATCACTACTATTTCCATGCTGGGGAGGAGGTCCGTTTTGACTTATTCAAGATATCCGCCGCTATATCACAAGTCTACTTCTACCTAAGGATAGCGACTGACTACCCGACGACCGATTCCTTCGATACGTATTTGCTTCCTAATCAAGGTTATGAAAATTTCGTAGCCTCTACTCCACCTTTTTGAACGTTCATTCGCTCACAACTTTCCCACTCAAGTAATCAGCTGCTCCATCTTACCTAAAGTATCAGTAGAAAGTATTGCGGTGAATGTGGGGAACAAAGCTGATGGGAGAGTCGACCCGAAGCAACTTTTTTGCAATGCTTTTGGTGTTTTGCAATCGAGCAGACGAAACATCACCCTTGGTCGATTGTCGAGGGTCTGCACCTTTTTATCATTATTCTTGTTGTCATCGGTGGCGAAGTTCTTGACAGTGATGGCCGTGCTACGTGCCAGCTATTTTTTTCGAACTTGCCTAAGTCTGGCGTAATTACTTTTGCTGGAAAAATCATAGATGATGGGCATTCAATCTAACTGTGCAGAGAGCTATATTAGCTCTCAGCCGGATCGCAGGCCCCCATATCGACGTGTACAAATTCGTGATGTAAGGAAGACTCAGAGCTGCAGGGGGGTTCCGGTTTGTTGCAGCATCGAAAGCCTCGCGTCAAACTTCGGGGTTCGACGCACGTCATGGCAGTTAAGACTCGCATAAAAAATGGCAAATCAACTTGTGGAGACAGGTTTGTGACACTTGAGTATCTCTAAGTAGGTCATGCAGCTCTGTAATATCGGAATGAGCCCGTTATACGTCATTGACACCCAATGGGGCCAATGCATATTATATTGACTGATTATACAATGCAACACATACCTTGCTCAGTGCATATTGAAGTAACATCAGCATCTAAGGTAACATACGGCCTAAACGAAGCAATGGGTGGAGAAGTTACGGCACTGCTCCTCTCATTGGAAGGTATAGGCCATGTGATCAACCAAGTAAACTACTAATCGCTGCTAGAAACGTGCGAAGGGTGATGAGCGAGATTTCAAATCTGGACTTTGTAATTTATTATATTAAAAGTAAGATAAAGGGGAAAATGTACATATCGACTATAAGAAACACAGTCCTACTTTTCCCTTCTTCCAAGAGTGGCCGTTTGTTTATAAGAATATGCTTCTATTACACGCACCGTGTCCCTGAGGCTTAAAGTCCTTTACATACACGGTGTCCGTGTAAACGAAAGGTGACCCTCTACACTTTTGGATAGAATATGCTAACGTGTACGCGAAAACATCAGTAGGGTAGATGTAGCAGGAGGTGGGAACCTGTCAATATTCAGATTCTATCAATTCTAGCTGAACGAGAAATGATCGACAGAAGCGATTTTATTTTTGCGGGAGATATGACAGTTGTTCACGGAGCTGAATCGAGTGCTTGCCTTCTTGACACTATCGATTGATAATTTTTTCACTCGAAGAGACGGAAAAAGAAGGAAAAATTCAAAGAATAAATGCCAATGAGGCTGTAACGACACCAATAATCGCAACGTTATGACACAAATCATCACTCGGACCTCGGTATGGAGCGCAGGCAAAGATACGAAGAAATGACCGATGAGAAATGTGGTGTAGGAACATTTGCTAGGTATAATTTCGCCAATACGGACGAAAGAAGGAGTCGAACTCGACGGGTGGACCTCATCAAATCAAAGTCGACGAGTCAAACTAGCGTCGACGACTTGAGATGGCCTCGACGAGTCGATTTGAACACGACTAGTTTAACTACTCGACGAGTCAAAATAGTCATAGAATCGAGCTCGGCAAATAGAGTTCAGCGGGTGTGGAAATATCTTCTATTATTCCCTTTCGAACTTTGTATAGGGATAGCATAAATAACCACACATGAGGTTCCTACTAACAATTAAGAGATAGTTATCATGAAGAATAATTGTTCAAGTCCAAGACGAGCGTACGCTTTTATGTAACTTTCCTGCGCGGGATAGAATATGTCTGGCAAGAGCCTTGGGAGGAATTACTTGTAGATTTATACTGGTAGCGCCAAGATATTGATTCGGCCCGGGGCGGCACTCACTACTAGCGAATGTTAAGTCTTGTCGAGCGACAAAGCCGGTATGATCAACAGAAGGGACCGTTTTTAGTCTCCTCGAGCGACGATCTCGTAAGATCGATAGAAGGAATCGTTTAAGACTTGTCTAGTGACAAGCCTGTGTAATTCATCTGAGGACACCGTAAAATCTCTAGTTGATCGTATAGTGCTTCCGTTGACCTGTAAAAAATGCGTAAAATGTCGGCCTCCATCATTTGTTGTGTATTCACAGGAGTTGAAAGGCTCGAAGGCTGCTCAGACCCTTTTGACCTCTGGAGACAATTGATAGCGATGTATTGATGAAGCAAGAGCTTCACTTGATTGTACTATGACAATCCAGAAGTAAAATCGTTTGTACCATCGCGGCAGCCCAACTCACCTACTTAACTTAACGATTACTATGTATGGGCGCGTTAAAGTTTATTTTCACAACTTTAACTAATGACCATACCCAGCATCTTGCGTAAATATGAAATTTTACCGATAGCAGCAAGTGTAGATGGCTGGACATAATATGCGAGGAGCGAAAGTGTAGATGAGGATAAGTGCTTTTTACAAAGGTTTGATAGTTTTCTATTCTCACGAAATGTGTATCAAATAAGTGATACGATTCAATTAGATAGAATTGATATCTGTTTCTCTTAGCGTATACAAGCCTACCAGCAGTGCACGCAAAATAGCATATTCGGTAAATCGGTCAACCATGCTTATTGGCTTTGCTAAAATATGTGTACGCGCACCCTTTTTTGGTCGAGTGAATCGACTACCCTATATTTACATAGCAGCAGATTTACATTCATGTGACCTTCATATGACTTAGAAGTATCGTCAGGGCCACTTAATCATTGGATTGTATGACGCCACATCTTCAAGCGTTCTATCCGACGCAATCGCTAGCGTAACGCGTAATCATATCTAGATATCTTAACAGGTCGAGGCACGTCATTTTTGCGTCATATGGCGTACCTTCATTAAATTTGCGCTGCTGACTTGTTTGAATCAGATAGCAAGTCATCTTTCCAATCACTTATTATGCGGTTAAAATGGCCAGGATTATCAAGCGAAGCGGCTTGAGCCATTCATTATCTGATACGAACATATGATAACGAGGTTTCTAGCGTATCAAGGCAACGATGATATATCAACGGCATCGTTTAGTCGTTGAAATCAGCTTTAACACTATTATCAAGGTTTTCCTCACATCAAGAAAATGCGTTTAATGGAGAAATAATGACAATTTAATCGCAATAGAGAGCTAGTGTCCTTAAAGTACAGCAAACGCCTTGTAAATTTACTTTCGACTCATTATTGGGCTACCAATTCCAACAAATTCTTCTCCCACAGAAATCTGCTTTCCCAATCCTACGCTCAAAATGATTGCGACGATTAGTTATCATTCGTGCCGCCGTTATCGTCATTACTATGGACGATTTTGTATGTAGGTAGATAAGTACGGACATAAGAACGCCAAGATGAGACGATCTCAAGAATATGTGTAAAAGAAACGTATACGGTATTTCAAGTGTTTATGTATGAACGGGATTTTTCTTGTCCGCGCATCTAGCCTATAATGGGTCAGCATTAACATACTAAACGCGACCATACCAAAAAATGGATGCGATTGACTCCTCCATCAGACATATTATACTCACCGCAAAAACCAGGCTTTCTTTTTGAAGCAATCGAATGCTTCCTTATTATTCTACGTCGAAAAAATCATCGATGTTCCTGTATTAATGATTTTGCTACGCCTTGCAATGACAATAGAGTGTTCAAGTTTATTGTCGGATCCATACCTTATAGGATGAGTGCAGATTTGTTTTATCTACCGTGTGTTGTCCCATGGGGACATATGATTGGCGATGACGTCTCTTTCTCGTATTCTAACAATTTATCCGAGCCGAAACTATCAGCGGATCCTGAGTATCGCGTGTATTTTAGCAAGTCCA